GCAAAACTTCAGATCTTGCTGGTCCTCATTTAGGAAACTTACACACATGGGCTCATACTGACACATGTATTCCAGGGATGAAGGCATGGGTAGCACCTAATCCACTTCCAGGCAGTCCTACTGATCTGCAAGCTTGGGTCATGGGGCTTTGTGCTAACCATCATATCCCTAGTGTGCAGCATAACATAGGTACTCAGTAAATACTTGCTGAATGAATGAATGAGATGCAGCATATAAGTTCTGTTCAGATTTCCAGATGGGCTGTTTTCCCAAAACAAAATCCCTTCGGGAGCCTGAAATCAGGAATGGAATTACCACAGACTGAGGTCATCACTAACCATCTTCAGCTAAAAAGGGATCACCCTTTGTAAAACTGTCAATTGACATGCCACTTAACAATAATGTTGAGCTCCCTTTTTATCAGGTGTCACATTCTCAGCACCATTTTATTATCAGTAAGTTCTTCCCCTCAACCCTAACATTGCACAGGCCAGAGAGTCTAGGCCTAATCATTCTTCCCCTACCTTTTGGGCTTCAAAGAAAATCTAAATCAGAAGGCTCTACCCTATGGAAATTAAGCCTGGAGTAGGGGTACCCTAGGTAGAGCTGGTTACTAGCAACATTAATCTGTGGCTTAACAGCAGTTTGGGCTAAGCTTCTCTCAGTGAGGTGGAAAATGGATGGTAGGGATGGACACCAAAAACATTCCACAAAACTAAAATAACCTAAGCCTTGACATGGTCAGTGGACAAAGGGAAGTGAAACTGGTGCCACCCTAGGGCCAAGGTTAGGTTTCTGCATTAGACAGGAAGCAAAGAGGGGCAAAATACAAAATCAACTTATTTCTCACTCTCACTTACATCCAGGGAAGTCTGAGATTCTGAAGGCAAAAAGCTTCTTGATCTTTCTTATAAAGTGAGCTCCTCCCATCCTCAGGATGAGGGAAAGGTTGGATCCCTAAGCGGTCAATTCTATGACAGATAAACAGGCATATGGAATAGAGGTATGACTAATAAAGACAAATGTGAATAAAATGCACTGCAGTTTAAATTTCACCTGACACTGGTTGTGTGATCATGCACATGTCAAATTGTCTGTTTTGTTGTTTGAGGATCTGATGTCACTCTATCCCACTGTGTTTTTCTGAAATCATTAAATTTCAGTGCACTGAGAATAAGCAAGAATTCCAGTTACCATTCCAGAGCCCAAGGGAGGCCATGAGCTCAGGAAATGCTTCCACTTTGGGATTTCTAAGCTCCAAGTGCTCTCCTGCCAGGCCAGCATTACTCTTCAGTTCCTGACTTATTATCTCATGGACAGTCCAACTGACATAGGTGCATGCATTTTCCTCTTCCTGTCCCTGATATCAACGTAACTGAAAGCACTTTGTTAAATTGTGATGGGACTTTTAAGTGCCTAATTCATAATAAACTTCTTTGGCTACAAAGTTTTATTTTACTTATGGAATCCTCTACTTAATTCAACTACACCCTCTGTATCTTAGGGAAAGGTTCAGAATTCTTGCTCTTGGCAAACGCTTCATGTACACACACTCACCATACCTCCTCTCTGCTGGTAACTGAGAACACAGTCAGCAGGATGGTATGGAGAAATGTCTGACCCAATATTTAAGTTGAGTTCAACAAATATTTACTGAGCACCTTCTAAGTGCCAGGCACTATGGATACAAATATTAATAAATATCACATTGCTCCTGCCCTGGTGGAGTTGACAGTTCAGTGGGAAGAGAAAGATTTGAAAACAAACCATTATAATGTAACACAATAAAATGATAAAAAGTACGAAATACAGAATAAAAAATATGCGAGATTAGAGACAGCTTTTAAGATGTTGCCTGAGCACATTCATATGTGACAAATGAAAGCTCTTTAGGCAAGCAGAAGCACAGAATGGAATCGAGGCAAGAGAAACAGGATGTGCAAAGGTATGAAAGTACAGAGTCCGGTGGTGGTGATGTAGAATCACAGGAATTTGCACTATGGAACAGAATGTGCTGGGCACGAAATAGCAGCTGAGGATGGAGACAAAGGCACGGGCTACATGAGGGGTCTCAGATGTCTCTTTAAATAGCTAGAACTTTATTCTGAGAATAAAGCTGCCAGTTATGCTTACAAATATTATCCAAAAGAAATGTGGAAGATGGCCTGGTGGGGCAAGAAACGAAGATTACTAGAAAAATAAACTGAGGAGCTGGCCAAAAGCAGTAGCAGTGAAGATGGGTTCCAGATTTAGGAGATAATTCCAACAGTAGTTCCTATGGTCTGAGTGTGTCCCCCAAAGTTCATGTGTTGGAACCTTGGTTCCTCAATGTGGAAGTGCTGGGAGGTGCTTGGGCCAGGGAGGTAGAGCCCTCACAGGTGGATTGATGCCATTCTTGCAGGACTGGATTAGTTCGCAGGAGAGCAGTTGTTATAAACTGGTGGGCCCCCTTTGGCTTGTTTTCTTTTGCACTGCACTGGATTGCCCTTCTGCCATGATATTAAGCAGCACAAGGCCCTCACTAGATGCCAGCACTATGTTCTTGGACTTCTCAGTCTCTAGAATTGAGCCAAAATAAATTTCCCGTTTATAAATTACCCAGTCTCAAGTATTCTGTTACAGCAACAGAAAAATGACTAAGACAAATGGATATGAACACTGAGTAAGAGGGAAGATTGACAGAGAGGGCAATTCCTAGGTGTGGGGCCACGCTGGAATGAGTGGGCACATCATGGACCAGCAACCGAGAGGAAATCAGAGGTTGATATATGCAAGTGTGAGAATGTGGAGTGAAGACAGTGAAAAGATAATGAGTTCCTTTCCTTTCTGTTTCCCCAGGAAGTGAAAATGTGCCAGACTAATCTCATCATGAAGATTTGAAATTCAAGGTAAAATACATTCTATTTTAGAGAAACTTTCTTGCAAAAACTTCCCACAAAAAAAGGGTGGAGATATTTTTCAGCCTTAAGGTTTTCCCAGTTCTTTCTCAAGAAAACTCTCTCTATTCTATTCTCCACTCAAGATTCCAAAGAT